GCCCCTTGAAGGATTAAGGAGCAGTTGACAACCAATCTTCCTTGGGATTCCAAAATGTGCTGCCATCGCTGCCGCCACCTTTCTCCCAAAGGGCTTCTTTCTCAAAGACAGATCTCCAAAGCCACTTCAGTTTAGGATGAAGAGACATGTGCAGTGTAAGAACTTTGTACACTCCCAGGCCCCGAGAGGGTAGGAAACGTAATCATGTTCCATCTCATTAGACTTCGTTCAAAATGGGCATGCAAATCCCAGCAGAAATCCTAATTGCCTCTTTCAATATTGAATTTTCGTATTAGGCATCTACAAAGTAGGTGGTACATTTTTTGAAGGAGAAACTTGAATTAAATTAAGACTGCTATCCTTTGGAACAAACCACCGACATTGTAGTTTAACCTGAATTTCTAAATAATGGGCACCTGAAGTCGATTGCTACCTGAAGAAGATACATGATTTTCATAGATTGACATTTTTTTATATGGAAGACAAGAGGATGGTCTATCCACGAACTGGAGATCATCGATGGGGAGGAAGTTTCTACATTAAGTCCTCTTACTAGCAATCTACTAAGCAAGTCAGCCGCAGAAAGTTTTTGGCTTGGCAAGGCCATTTTAGTCCGCAACTTCAAGCAGCTCCCTAAGATCTTCTTATGCCATGCAACAAAATCAAAGTGGACAACTAGGAATAGAGATCAAAGATCTTACATAGATCTCCTATATCTTACAAGTTGACAAGACAGTACGCCCTATTAATAAATTAGCCCGTATTTCATTTTCATAATGTATCACATCCTATACTGGTAGTCTCATAAGGTAATTTTATATGTTGTACACCAAAGCTGATTTAGTGTGGACCAATCTCCAGGCTATTAAGGTCATACTAAGGCTATGAATATAATTCCTAGAGATGAGAAAGGGAACAAAATAATAAATGTTTTTTTTAATGAAAAATATATAATAATTTATCTATTACAAATTCAAGTATAAGTGTTCAATTTATAAAACTTGAATTGTTGAATATCTCCCTCTTGAACCCACCTCCCCTCCCCTTCCCGCGCTCTCTTCTTATTTATAAATGTTGGCCACTAACAATTCCCCATGAAATCTAACAAGCTCCAACCATCTCATATAACCACACACATTCTAACTAACCAACCTCAATGCCTAAAGAATTCTAGATAAGTACCATGTACAGTTTATATCAACTGGAACTAAAATTGAGAAAACAGAAGTGGATAATGATCAAAACTTACATGGACAAATACATGTATGCATAGTAATTTTTACCTGGCATTCTTGGCATAAACTGCCAGCATCATGCAGTAGCACAATACACTAGGCACTATTCCTGAAGCTTTAATTTCATGAAACTGCTCCTTGCTCTCATCTACAAGACCTGCAAAGCAATAAACACCTAAAACTGCCTCAAGTGTCTGCTCATCAGGTTTACATCTCATTTTTTCCATCTCAACAAAGGCCTTTATAGCTTCTTCAAACTGACCACTTTGCCTGTAACATTCAATAATACCACTAAATGACTTTGCATTCCTTGAAATGCCAGACTCTCCCATTCTCGATATGATTGCTTCAAGCTCCTTGTAGAGTCCACCCCTAGCGAATGTGTGAATTAGCGAATTATAGGTATCAACAGTTGACTTACTTCCCACTTCGTTCATTGTGTTAAAGGCAACAAGAGCTTCATCATACAATGCAGCCTGTCCGTATGCTTCAATCAGTCCACCATATGCCTTAGAACTTGGAACCATTCCTTTCTCGTTCATGTGAAGTAAAATTTTCTTGGCATCCTCGTGCAGCCCCCCCTTCCCACAAGCAAATACTAAGCCCTCGTATGTCTCCATATTTGGGTCAATCTTCTCCTCCACCAAATCATGAAACAGAGTTACAACCTCCTTGAAGTATCCACCCTCGCCAAATACTCGAATGAGAATGTTGTAAGTAGTTGCATCTGGCTCGGCACTGCTCTCTTTCATTTCAAGAAAAAGCTCTCGAACATCATCATACCTCCCATGCTTTCCATATAAATTCAATAGAATGCTATAAGTGGATGCATTTGGCACACATCCTGCAGCTTGCATCTGCTTAAACACGTCCATTGCCTCCTTAATCGACCCGGATTTTGCATGTGCGTCTATTAACACATTGTAGGATGATATATCGGGCAAATACCCTTCGGACTCCATTTCTTTTAGCAGCATAGCAACTTTCTCGAGCTTACCCAATTTTCCAAATGTCTCGACAATATAACTATATGTTGTTATCTCAGGGACTATCCCTCCTTCTATCATAGTCTTGAAGACCATCTCTGCCTCATCGCCTAAACTGCGGGCAGCACATGCACTAAGCAAAGTATTATAGGTAACAAGATCAGGTTGAACCCCTTCATGCCTCATCTCGGCAAACAATCCCAACAATCCCTCCCAATCTAAATCACCTCTAGCGCATGCATTTATCACGGTATTGTAAGTCAATATATTAGGCGACACTCTATCTCTTTTCATCCTTTCAAGAAGTTCAAGTGAGATTTCGTACTGACCATTGCGCCCGTAGGCATTTATCAAAGCGGTATAAGAAAATACGCTACGTATTACGCCCTGGCTCGCCATTTCATCGAATATCTCGCTACATTTCTCTAGCAATCCTTCGCGGCCGAGCAAGCTGATCATGATGGTATAGATGTGCTCGTTCGGCTTGCACCATATCTGACGCTGCATGTATTTGAAGAGGCGTAACGAACGTTGCCAGTCCCCGCGCGCCGCGAATTCCTTAAAAACCAAGCTGAAGTCATTGAGCGAAAGCCTATTCTTAAAGATATCGAGGCAACGTGCTATGCTGCCTCGAGGCGGGAGGCTACTGAGCTTATTAATTAGGGTTTCAACGTCATAGCTGTACTTGCCTTTCTCAACAATTACCGACGGATTTCCAAGAACGAGATCCTTCGGCTTCGCTCTACACTTCCCAACGTCGGAGAACAAGCTCCAGTTATCTGAGAAAAATCTACGGCGAACACTGAAATTGGAACGGTTTGAGAGAAATGGAAGTTGTTGAGACAGCAAATACCGCTGCTGAAACGTTGTAGAAATTTCAAGATGATTCGGCACGGACAAATACGGTGATAGCGCCATTACAGGAATCTAGTTTTCATTACCTGCGTGAGTAAACGAAATAAACGAATTGCAATTTACCAGCCGTAATCCAACCCCTTCAAAGACGAGATTGATAGCAATTAACAGGCAACGAAGAACAGATTCGGATAAAAACCACCGAAAATTTCAGAACCAATTTCTCCGATTTGCTAAACGATTTCACATGGAGACTTGCAGCAGCGAAGAACAAAAGGGCGGGAGCAGATTGAGAGCTGAAATTGGCTCGGTGAAAGCCACGTGGAGTGGTTTTGGATAACAGTGATGCTTCAAGTAAACAAGACGGGCGGCTTTAATACGGGTACGGGTTATCCAGTTGCACGGCCTGAACCCGGATTCTATTGGGGTACTGGCGGGATAAAAAATATAAAAAATTAGGGGATATTTTGACTTTATTCCGCCGTTAAGTGTCTCTTACTTTTTTATTTCTTTAACTAACATTTTTTTATTGTTTTTTTATTTTAATTATAATAATCTCGGAATGTTTTCTAGACAATATATAAATTATATTATGGATGGGCCAACTTAATTTTTTAAAATGTAAATTAAATACATACCGTTAATGATTTTAGATAATCTGTTTATATAGGATAATTCAAGTCAATTGACACAACTGCTTTACCCATAATTGATATCCAATTGGGAGATGGGCCCTATAATATATCGTACACATTCCGATTGGTCGAGCGAATCAGTCAACTTTTAAGTAGATTTGTTGTCTGAAGAGTGCATTATGACTCGTGGCTGCCTGCCCAATAGTAATCAAAGCGTTAAGATCGAAGCACCTCTCATAGATTTGAGACCTACGTATCCACAAACTTTTACTGTTATTCGTCATCAAACGGCATCCTACTATAAAAAGGTTAAACTTCAAATACCATATCTAATACTTATGACCCAGATTTAGACAAGGATTTAAGGATTTGAAAATAGCTGTTACAATTTAATTAAATTCAATTTTTCCATTTTCGTTACTATAGTATGCTAAATTAAAATCTAAAACATCTATAAATATTTTATTTTATTATTTTAAGAATATATTTTATCCCCTTTCTTTAAAATAAACATGGGCATGACAGCATGAATTTATGACGTGTCTTCCGTCCCAACAGACCAACCAATCACCACCTAAGCATGTTCCATAGCTACGCTGTGCCAATCCAGTGGATCGATGGTCAACGTCTCGTCGCACGAGGTTCAACGACATGTCGTTTAAAATTAGGTAACCAGATCAAATAAGGTTTCTTTTTTGGTTACGCGCCGCGGTCGACTTTCGTCAAATATATTTTAAATTTTTTTTTAAATGTGTGTAACAAATTTTGGATGGGTGTGAAATTATCTTAAAATTTAAAAATTAGTTGAATATAAAATATGAACTATATCCAATTAGGCACAAATTTTAATTTTATATTTATTAAATAAAAGATAAAAAAATATTTCTATAATTTTAAAAATTTATAGAATTATAAGTTTTTAATATATTTTTTTTTACATTAAGTGTAATTTTGAAAAAGGATTTGGTATTGTATTCGCTACACACGGTAGACCCGAAATCACAACCGTCCAGCTCTTAATCAGACGGCACTGTGATTCAACCCTCAACATGCATTAAAACGCGTGTCTATCTATCAGGCGGAATACGTCCACGTCAGCATTCCACTGTGTGGGACCACTGGCATGGCGCGAGCTGATACGGCGGGGAGAAAAAGTAAATCCAAAGGCGAAATAAACACCGGCGTTGTTACGGTTAGCCATTGAAGGAGTAGGTGGTGTAATTACATTAGAGTTGGGGGGTATTATGGTAATTAGGGTTGGACTTTGGCCTTTCAGTTCGTAACAGACAGCTGATGTTAAAGCAAGGGGGGGGAAACAGAACAAACCTCCCCTCTTATTCTCTCTTTTCTTCTTTCTTCACTACTCCGTCCAAAAACCAGCAAAGAAAGGACTCCATACCTCACTGATAATGGAAGACTCTGAGGTAATTTTCCTTTTAATCGCCGCTCTTTGTTCGTTGTTTGTCTCCCCTTTTTATTTTGGGTTTCTCTTTGCTGGGATTTGTGGCTTTTTGGGGGAATGTGTAAGAGCGGATGATTTTGATCTTATTGAAGTTTGTTTTACCGCCCTCTAGTAGGTTGTCGGCGGTGTGTTTCGTTTGATTTTGTAATGGTTTTTGTTTATTTTCAGAAATTGACGGCCCTGAAGAAGGCCTACGCCGATATAATCCTTAATACGGCGAAAGAGGCGGCGGCGCGTATTATGGTTTCAGAAAGGAACGCTATTCGGTTTCAGCAGGAGCTGTCCACTACTAAAGATGAGGCGTTTCGGATACTGCTTAGACTTAAGCAAATGCTGGATTCTAAGGTATTATGCTTTATTAGCTTAAATGGGGTTGATTCTTCTCTTTGTTTTTTTTTGTTTGCCCATTTCTTGTTTAAAATTGCTTTGTGTTCTTCCGATCACGTTCTTATGCGGATGGCTTGGTGATTTTCATCTGTACTGGGTTGTTGTTAACCGTTTTGAGATGAAAATTTTCGATCTTTACGCTAGTTGGTAATCTTTAATGTTGGATAATGGATGTTGTTCATTCATAATGCTCAAAGCATCGTAGTGTTTGCATCAATTGTAGCCATTTTTTAATCAGGCATTCAACCAGTTGTTGCTGTTTGCTGGCTGTTTGTTGCTTAAATCAACTATTGCGTAGTAAACAATTTAAGTCGGCAGTTGCAAAAGTTGATTTAATGTTTTGCTCATGAATTAATGATTTCATGAACAGTCATTTAAATTTTTAATAGGAATTTGGACTGAATGTTTGTGTTAATTTGTCCAAAATCCTCTTTGATTTGTGTCACAAGAACTAACTGTTTTCTCCTTCTGGAGTTTCCAAGGTTAACGCTTTAATTCTCATGGTCTTCTTCAAATCATTTTCACCTTTAGAGTGGAGGCATGCACAATCAAAAGCCTAACCGATATAGCCCCGATTGATTCATTATTAGTTCGGTTTAATACTGTTTGAATGGTGTTCTTAATTGTTGTATCTTTCTCAGCGTAACCGAAGAAAGAAACTTCAGTTCCTTCTGATACTTATCTATGTTTTGTGAATAACTGTGGAGCTGAAATATTCCATTTTTCAGGCCAGTGAGGCAGAAATGGTGTCTTTAAACCAAAAGAAAAAGATCGAAGAGCTTGAAGCCCAGCTTGAGGAAGCTGAGGACATAGTGAGGGAACTTAGAGCTCAGTTGCAGGACGTTCAAGATGAATTGGAACATGTGAGGAACAAAAACGTAGAGCCCCTAGATGAGCAAAATTTGGCCGGTAACGTTGCAACTCGAGGGGACTTGCCAAACTCACATGAGAGGATTGCACCTTGTAACATAAGTTCAACTTTAAATGGGACATGCCATGACGACAGTTGGCCTGAAAGTAAGAATGACTTGCAGATGGATAATGGCCAAGTTCATGGGGATTTTACCTCCATGGTGATGAGAAGCAAAGAACCTGAGCTTTACAGAAATGGCTGCACTCAGAGAGTACGTGCATTTGAAAGAAAATTGTTCGATGGAAAAGTCTGTTCGACTGGACAAGCTGAAGATGTCAAGAATAGGGTATGCAATATGGGTGAAGAAGAGGGTAAACTGATGTGTAAAACAAACATTACCAAGGCTGATAATGTCTGTGGAGAAAGGAAGAATTCTAATGAGATCAAGACATTGCCTAATCTATTAAGTAGGGATACTCAAGTTCCAATCATTAAATCCCTCCGTCGAAAAAGAAAACGAGCTACTAGATACAACAAAAAGAAAACTTTACCCATTTTTGATGACATTGCTAAACAATGCAACTCGCCTGATCTTCACTGCTCAGAAAGTCCTTCAGTGTATAACGATGGTACCGGGAAATGTCTGTCACAAAATGAAATTGATAGTCAGGATGGTTTAATTTTGCTCTCTACCCCTGTACTGTCTGAAATTAATGAAATGTCAACACCTTCGAGTTGTCCCGACGACAGTGAGGGAGGTGATGCAGTAATAAATGATTGTCCTATTAGGAACGTGACAGACTACGATACAGCAGCTGTAGGTAAATCGGACTTCACTAGCCAGGAAAGTTTATGTGGGGAGAATTTGGAGGCTTCTGCTTATAAAGTAGAGGTTGATCCAGTTAAGGAGTCATCAGTTAAGTCGGACGTGAAAGACTCCGACGTAGTTGATGAGATTCCTAGTCAACATTCAAATAATAAAGTTCTCATGTATACATTCCGAAGAAAGCGAAAGAAGGAATCTTTGAGCAGCCCTGATGGTAAATCACCCATTGATGAAAGCATATCAAAGAAAAGGATGAAGGATAAACAAAGTGCATCGTCGGAATCAGACAAGTTTAGCTTAATGACAGAATCATCTCGGGATAACCGACGGTTAGCACAGGTTGCTCGACAGGTTAGTTTTATATCTACTTTAGCATGATGGTATGCCCTTCTGATTTGTTTCAAAATATCTGGATAATGAATGTCTGCGAAATTTACTTTGCCACTCTAATTGCCCCTCTGCCTATTTCTCAGGATTAAGTTTTATGCTTGTTGTTTCATAATTTTATCCCTTCCGTTCAAATTATTTCTTCATTAGTTATGATTCCAGCATATGGTTGTCGTTTTTGTTGATTTGATATTGAATCCTTAATATGCAATGATGACGTTTGGATACCGCCCCTTCTTTTGAAAACCTTACTCTTGTTAAATCTACACTTCGAGGAGCTGACAGCCCAAAGCATTGAGAAACCTCTTATAAGCAACAAGGGTGATTTTTAGACGTGTTTCTTTGACTCTGGTGTTTCCTGAATATTTGAATTCTCTTCCGTTTGTGAACGTAAGGGGTGAGATCCCACATTGATTGGAGAGGGAAACAAAACATTCTTTATAAGGGTGTAGAAATCTCTCCCTAATAGGAGAATTTAAAACCGTGAGACTGACGGCGATACATAATGGCCAAAGCAAACAATATTAGCTAGCGGTGGGCTTGGGGTGTTACATAAGCTATAAAACATATTTGATAGTAGTCCATTAAATCATTTATAAGATATCAGTTTAACTTCAGATTCTATGAAGAACTCCAATTATATATATCTATATATGTATATCAAAACTACCTTATTTACTAATGTCCTCCTGAAAATTGTGTTTCTGCAGCTCATATCTTTGTCTGAGAAGAAGTGGCGGTAATAGAACTCTGGCTGCCCTGCAATTCATAATTGTTGCTTGAGAAATAAAATCAGCTGCAACAAAAAAGAGAACGCTGAATGGGCAAGTGAAGTGGTTTTCCAAGCAAGTACCACAGGCCATGAGCAAGTACCATTTGGGTGCTGGTGCTGTATGTGCACTAACTTATGAATGTTGTTTATGTAATCTTTATATCCTTCCCTTCATTACTATATATTAAAAGCTTGAATCTTGGCATTTTTCTTTCCCTTGGGAAAGCTTACTTAATTATATTCCAATGTTCACATGGTATTTATTTCTCTGTAAAACTTGTTTCCCCGAGTCGTTCCTCCGTGCCTTACCTTACACTTATACGACGTCTGCTAGAATCATGCTGCTGTTATAATATTTCAAGATAGATTCTAAATTCCAACTGGGTTGGTTGCCTTGAAAAGAACTGTCGTTGAAGCTAAATGTCAAAGCTTTCAACTTTTGGATTAAATCCTGTTATAGGTGATTTGCTGCTGGTTCATTTCCTGGTGTTTTGATTCATATTATTGGCTTTTAGGGCATACATGTTCATTTATCCGTTAGAATATTTGTAGCCTTTTGTGATCGTCCAAGCCCACCGCTAATAAATATTATCTTTTTTGGGCTTTTTCTCTCGACTTCCCTCAAAGTTTTTAAAATGCGTTTGTTAGGGAGAAGTTTCTACACCATTATAAAAAAAATGTTTTGTTCTCTTCCCTAATAGACATGTGATTTCACACTTGGTAGTCTTGGATGAGATTTCTTGAGTAAGGGAATGGATGAAATATTCATATTGTTTGAAAAGTTGAATGCTTGATTTTTCTCAATCTGCTTTTTGGTATTTCAAATTCCGGTTTAAAGTCATTGCTACACTGTTTTGAGTCTCAATGATAATTTTGAGGGGTTAGATTAAAGTATAATTATTGGAGATTTTTAAATTGTCAGGTGATTTATTTTCAAAAACAAAAACAATTATAGACGACGTCTAATAAATTCTTAAATTTACTTAGAATTAAAAATTTATATTTGGATTGATAAATAATTTTTTTTTTTTTGTTAAATTAAAAATTTAGTCACTAAATTTTGTAATTTGAGTTTAACAACTAAAGTTCTTCCGGATTAAAATGTCTAATATATTTTTAAAATTGTAGCATTTTTGGATTTGGATTTTTTAATTTTATATTTAGGAGTTAAAAAAAATAAAATAAGTGAAATGACTTCTTAAGCATATCCTATTAAAATTTTAAACAGTTTTAAGGACGATTTTGACAATATTGAACAATAATTATAATATAAAAAGGATTAATTGATTTATTTCTTCAAAATTAGGGTCTAATGTTAAAATTATGAAAGTAAAAAAGAAAATGTATGAAACTCAAATAAAAATGTAATTTAAATTAAAATAATAAAATAACAAAATGAAGAAGACCGAATGAGAAACCCTTCGTTTGGGAATAAGGGTTCTTCGCATTTCTAAGCAAATCGAGCTCGTCGAACTCAGTTTTCGTGAGCACTGAGGTCTGTGACGATCAAAGCTTAGCTGAAAGTTCGGACGGAGGAGATCGGAGAAACGTCGAGGAATCGGTGAAAATGGGAGCAGCGAGTAAAGTGGGCGATTGGGCGTTCAAAGCCTTTACCGCCGGTCTAGGTGTCGCCACCATTTACCTCACTGCTACCTTCTCAGTCAACGTCTACAGAGGATTGTCTTGGCACAAAGCTCAATCCGTATTATCCTTCTCCTTTCCTTTATGTATCTTTTGATCCTAGCCCTTGCTATAGCTTATTACTCATAATTCTTCACTTTTTTTTATCAACCCTAATTTCGTTTAGTTTTTTGGTTCATGGTCAATTTATCGCGTGTTAGTAATTAGGACTGAATTTCGACATTGAGGAATTGTTGGCATCGTAATCATCTATGTGCAGGGCGTAGCTAATCAGCATAATCAAATACTTGAACAATGGAAATGATCTTGTTCTCACTCAGTTTCCTTGGGGTTGTGTTAGTTACAGCTCTTGAGGTTGTCGAATTGAGTTTGCATTGCTGTGATATATGCTTATGAATTTTTGTATTCAGTATATCTCTAACCTTCTTCATATGGGGATAACAACTATTAGTTTGTGATAAGTAAATCATTCAAAGTTTAGGACTTGATCAAATTTTCTAGTTACCTTACTCTGTAATAACATACGAGCTGGATTTCATGTTCTTGTGGATTTTATTCCTCTCTAGGAGTAGCTAAAGCCTGAAGGCATGCCTCTTAACCATCATTCTGTTTAGCATATTCAGTATTAGAAGTTCTTCACAATATTTGCTTCATGATACCTCTTGAAACACTAAAAGTGGTGTGGCTTCTGTTTCTGCAGAAAATCAACGACAACAATACCAACGACGAGGCTACATAATTTGAATTTTTGAGCCACGGGATATCTGCATTCATCTACAAATTTTGTATCATCAGGTTCTAAATTGGTTTGAATGCTTCACTTTATACCTCATCTTTCTTGGGAAGAGCAGGAACACTTTCAGTTTGGATGTTTAGCATAAATTGGGTATGGTGATGAAGAGCATGTTTCATAAATTTTCAGCAACTTTTCTAATGGGATTTTTGCTTTAGGTGCCTACTTATGCATCTTGTAGGTGTTTTTTCTTATTGTTGTTTATCATTGGATCTTTTATTCTTTCATGCCCCTTGCCCATTTCTTATCGTATCTCAGTGCCCAACTTGAACTTAGCTCAACGGGTACAACATATAAAACATGTGCTCTTGATCAAGAGGTCAGAGGTTCGAATGACCACCTCACGGCTCACATGTTGGGATAAAAAGAATAAGATGAAGAGTTCTTGTGTTCTCTATTTTCTGGTTTTGGTGTAGAATATGTCAACTTCAACATTTTAATTATTATCTATATATCTATATCTATATCTATATATATATATTCATGAGTTTTGTTAGGATTTCACCTTTTTACATCTAGGCATTCAATTTGTTGTCTTACATTTCATTAATTAATTAGAATTTTCACACATATTATACTAGAAATATAATTTAAAATTAATTATAAGTAGTATTTTTTATGTTTAAGTTTAAAATTTATAGAACACATTCATATTATAGCTACAACATTTCAAACCAAGCAAGTAATCTTGGTAAAAATAACATCTACTAATCGATACTATGTGTACTATGTGCACGGGTGAATGATTTTGAACCTTTGGTATCTTTTATGGGTATATGTCTCGATAATATATCGTAGATCATCCAATCAAAATTAAGCCATATTGTTCAATTTTAAATTTAATTTTAAAATTTTGAGATTTGTATTCAATTAATCTATTAACTATTTAATAATAATTGGCTCATTTGACATTTTTTATAAACCCACAAATTTATTTCAGAAAATTTAAAATTTAAAATTAAGTTTATAAATTGTTAAAATAAATAAAATGAAAATTTTAAATATCTCCTCATGCTCTGCAAACGTGAATTGCAGGATCCAATTCCTTATTGGACTTTTACCAATTAATTTCGAGCAAGTCGAATGGGCCATGAACTGAAATCAGATTAAGGAGTAAAACTTCGTCGGAAATGGAACAACGATTTGACACTCTCCGACCAGTTTCGTCGATCGTCATTCAGTCTCATTCGCACTGGTTGCTGCTCCCAATTCTGTAGCGTTTCACATCCTCAAGCGCAGAAACCAATTTTAGAGCTGAAATGGAGGAATCGAAAGCGGCGGCGTACTACGAGGAGCTCACTCGTAAAGGAGAAGGAGCGGCAAGGTTCAAACGAGGCCTTGGTTTTTCCTCCTCCGACTCCAATACTGATGTGGTCTCCGCGTCCAAGGGCTCCGCTCTGCCTTCGTCGTCTTCCTTCCTCAGTTCTTTCGTTAAAGCCTCAAGCCCTTCCAAGGCCTCCGAGTTTGAAAAGCAAGCGCAGCTCGAGGCCATTCAGAACAAGCTCAAGAAGAAGATACCAAGCTCTCCCGATGTGGATAAGAGGCGCCCTAGGGATTTGGAGAGAGATCGTCGGAAATCGAGCCCTAGACGAAGGTCTTTGAGTAAAGAGAGGGAGAGACACTCGCATTCGAGGAGGCGGAGTACGAGTAGAGATAGGGAGAGACATTCAAGGCGGCGAAGTAGAAGCCGAGATAGGTACGGGGATAAGCATAGGGATAAGGGTAGGGAGAGGAGTGATTCAGACAGGGACAGACGTCGTCGACGGAGTAGAAGCTCGTCGCGAGAGAGGAAGAGATCGGACGACAATAGAAGTAAGGGAGGGGAAAAACAGAAAGACCATAAAGTTGATAGAAGGAAGACTGAAAGTGTTGATTATTCAAGATTAATCGAAGGATATGACAAGATGGTATGCTTCGTACTTTGCAGGCTTTCATCTTTCCGTTTTCGCATTTGAATCAATTTGAATGCATATTTCTGTTTTTCATCATGCATATCTTTTAATCAAAAGTGCTGTTTCTCTTCAGTTTGTCATTGGTTTCGGCATCATTTTACTGTTATAGAATTTTCCCCGCCCTTTGATTGCTCACGTTGTATGTTTGTGTATAAGCAACCAAGAGTTTGAAACAACATTTCTATATTCTTCTAAGCGATTCCTACAGTCACAAGGTACCCATGATGGTTTCTGTCATCGTTTTTGCATATTGCTTTTCGATGTGATTATGCCAGTATAAACCTGGGTTGTTGAACACACCAACTTTCCAAAGGAAATGGAGATATCCTTACGTAGACAAACTCGTGTTTGAATTGTTACATGAGATCCCACATTGATTGGAGAGGGGAACAAAATATTTTTATAGGGGTGTTGAAACCTCTTTCTAGCCAACACATTTTAAAAACCTTGAGAGGAACACTAAAAAGGACAATATTTATTAGCGGTGGGTTTGGGCTGCTACAAATGGTATCAGAGCCAGACACCGGATGGTGTGCTAGCGAGGACGCTAGCTTTGAAGGGGATGGATTGTGAGATCCCACATCGGTTGGAGGGAATGAAACGGTCTTTATAAGTGTGTGGAAATCTCTCCCTAGCACCCTAGCAGACACGTTTTAAAACCTTGAGGGGAAGCTAGGAAGAGAAAGCCCAAATAGGCTAATTTGAGTGTGTAATGTGCAATTATTCTTCGAAGTTAATTTGTACTATAAAATGTCGGTCTCCAGTAGATGGTAGTAGGGTTTTTAGTTGTATTGCATAAAAACAAAGAATAAACCTCCTTACAATAGACAAGTGCCAAGGTACTGGCATGGTGAATTGACCTGAAACGTGAGATTATTACTTTTGCCTCCCCACCTATGTCTTCTCTCTGCACAATTCTGCTGTTCTATTCTCTTAATTGGAAATTGGTGTAAAGCTTTCTTTTGTTTGCCTCCAGTCTCCAGCTGAAAGAGTCAAAGCAAAGATGAAACTACAACTTGCTGAAACTGGTAACTTTTCGATTGATAAATACTACTTCGTTTTACTATGTCGTACTGGGAGCTACATGTTCTTTATATAAGAAGTCGATCTATAATCTAAATTGAGCTGAAGCTTTTTACTCTCTGATTTGAAATTTCTAAGTATGGATTCATTTCCAATTACACGTTCTTCCTCCTTTCCAATTGTAATGGGGACTTTAGCACACACCAAAAAAAATAAGGAAAAAAAAGCCATCTGATAAATGTTGAATCTAACTCTTCATATTCAAAATACAGCTAGAATGGATGATACAAAAGGCACAGGCCCAGGTTGGGAAAGGTTCGAGTTCGATAAGGATGCTCCACTTGATGATGAAGAAATTGAAGGTATAAACTTTAAGTCCTATTTGATGACCATTTGATTTTTGGTTTTTGAATTTTATTATTAAGCTTATAAACACTACTTGCACCCATAAGTTTCTATGTTTTGTTATCCATTTTCTACTAATTTTTTTTATTTTAAAACGAGACCAAATACAAAAACTAAAAGTTTGTTTTAAAAACTTGTGTATGTTTTAGAATTTGACTAGGAATTGAAATGTTTCTTTAAGATAAGTGAAAACTATAATAGGAAAATTAGGAGGAAACATGCATAACAGAAAACTAAAATCAAAATAATTATCAAATGGGGCTTTAGCAATTGGACTTCTAATTTCTTCTTTGAATCAATGATGATTTGTGAACAGAAACTAATAGTTTTGAATCATTATTATATATTATCCTTTTGTAACTTCAAGCAATTTTTGTTCTAAATATTAAATTTGGTATTATCTCAATTGTGAATTGCTGACCGTATACCAACTGCTGCATGCTTTTTACTTCTCTCCTGGGTAAATTTGTGTCAATTCATACTGTGTAGAACTAAATAAATTGATTAATTATTCTTCTTGTGTAGATGTTATTCATTTTTTCATTTTTTTATTTTAGTTTAGTTTTGTACTATGGCCCGTTGGAGTTATTATAGTTCTATAATCTCCTTGGTTTTAGGTTTATTTCTGATCATACTTCGTACGTGCTAATAGTTTCTTTGTATGCTATTGTTGTTCTCACCCTTGCTTGAGGATTTCGAGTTTTAAGAAGAAAAAAAGAGCAGGGGTGTAAGTATTTATTACTCATAAAAGATCTTCAGGTGGGATGAACATTCCTGGAATTTCATGGGGCTCTTTTTCGACGGAATCTTGAAGTGCAATTTTCTTTTTACAAAATGTTGAACTGGACATTTTCCACTTTTACGTTTCAACTTATTTGAAGTTTGTAATGGACTTCTAGTTTCAATTGATTGAATTGTTTATTGAGGATTCTCTTTGAACTATAAACCTTTCCTTGTATATAAAATTAACATAAAGGGTTTAAGAACCAACCTAAGGAGTAACCAAAAGGTCTCTATTTGATATAGATATCAATAATAATAGTAATTACATTTTCCTTTTACAGAGAGCAATCTATCTAGAGGTCCAAAAGACAAGCATTAAGCACCCTTAAATGTTTCTTCGTTACTTTCTAACTCGGTGTTGGTGACCCATAAAATAGCCCCGTTGATCATTATCCTTCAAAAGATCTTTATCTGAAGAGCCCTACCAAAGGTTCTTTGTGGACCTAGAAACAGCTTCATAGAACCACCACTGTGCAACCATCTCACTCAAATAATACAAACATACCTTTGTATTTGACTCTAGTCTAGCATGGTATGTTTACTAACCTTTTCCTGACCATGGAAATATCTAACCAAGCTTCCACGAGGCCTACTCGAGAACTTTTTGCCTTAAAAAGTCTCCACATATCGTTTGGGTGTGCCATCATAATTCACCCACAGCACCTTGTTAAGTGGTAAACTTGTAGGTTTAAATATCGCTAGTTGATTTTACTTTAGTAGTAATTTGGTTGAATGGCCTAGGATGAGCATTTTTAGATTATTGAGTAAACTGGATGTCCTTAATATGTGTTCATGCTACCTACAGCTGCAGAAGATGATGCAACATTAGTAAAGCATATTGGACAAAGCTTTCGATTCTCCGCTATTGAGGTTGTGCCTTACCTTATGCTGCTACCGATCTCTTTACTTGTTTGACTGTCTCACATATTATTGGCGGAATTCATTTATTGTTACGTTAGGCTAGAAAAGAAGAGCAAATCAAAGCTGCTCACGACGAGGCCATGTTTGGAGCACCAGTGGGACAACTATTAAGTACAACAGATAACGAGGTCGAGTTGGAGGATGAAAAGTCGAAGGAATCATGCGATGGCGGTGTGGCAACAAATCTATTGAGTGAGAAGGTATTTCTGCATTTTTCCTCCACTTTTTATGACTTTTTGGGTGTTGAATGGGAGCATGATAATCAGGCCCTATCTTTTGAAACCTCAATGTTAGATAATTGCAAAACAACAAGGTTCTTGGCGTGACCGTGCTCGTAAAGGTTCCTAAACTGCATCAAAAATGTATTGCCAATTGCTGATGATGATAGTCGGTGAGAACTACACCAAGGAACTGCAATGGCCATCTTGATTCACCAATTACTTTACTCGCAATGGGTTTTTGGCTCCTGATAATTACAGTCACCCAGAACATCAGTATCAAGTTTGCCCGTATCCAACGTTGGAAAAGTGTACTTTTTTGTAGCAAGTTTTAAAAGATGATTTTTTTTAGTTCATCCCTGTAACTTTTGATCGAGAGTATCTACTTTGTGTCAGTTGTGATATGCTCGTGTTAGCAAATAAATGATATTAGTTCTAGTAGTGACTTTATATCAGTTACTTTTTTATGTTATCATATATTCTTTTGTTGTTTTCAATGAAAGCTCAACCGCTTACCAAAAATGGGAGATCTGGATTAGGTTGTTACTTTCAGAGTCGGTGATTCCTTGAGAAAGTCTGTGATTCCTTGAGAAAGATAAGACTGAACGTCCAAACATCACTCCAATTTCTTCCAATGTGTTGACGCGTGACACAACCAACAAACACCTTAGGTAGAGGCAAATAAGCTATTGCTAGGTAACACGGTTTTATATTATTCCGGTTTAGGAGGAAGAGAAAATTACCTAAAAAATATTAACCCGGTCTTCTAAAGTAATAAATAAATCATATTCATCAATTAATTTTTGTTCATTATTTTCATTATTCTCATTAATTTAACTTATTTTTGTTCATTAATTTAAACTCATATAAATTCATTATTTTCAAATTTTTGTTCTAAGATATAAACCGGAAAATTTGGTAATCCGTAGAAAAAACTTAAGTTACCCTAAGAACGAGCATTTGTCCACTTGTCAACTTCTAATTGGCTGGTAAAAAGCCGCACCTTAATAGCTAATTAGCTTCCGGTCTAATTTTATAGAAAAATGAAATTTTATTAAAAAATATATATAATATATAATCCCTAAAGTCTCATCTCCTTCGCCCCCACAACTCTCCGACTCAGTAGCGTCTTAGTCTCCTCGATCCGCTTCCTTCCCCGAGATTCGTCAATGGCTCCTTCCACCGTTAATCGATGGCTGAGACCTGAGGTATCACTCAGATCTGCCATCTGGTTATTCTCCGATCCTGTTTTGTTATTGATTGATGTTCGTTTCCTTGTCGTCTAATCATCTGAATTCCTTTTTAGGTTTACCCACTTTTCGCGGCGGTAGGAGTGGCCGTCGGAATCTGCGGGTTTCAGTTAGTCCGTAACATCTGCATCAATCCTGAAGTCAGGTCTCTCCGCGTTTTCCCTATTTTTAACTCTCCAATTGTTTTTTGTGGTTTAATCTGCATATTCTCACGGTATATGACGATACTGGATTCGAGGATGAATAATAAGAAGTTTTGAAATTAAACCTACCTTTGCTTCTTTTCTATTCCTGCGATTAGTTTTAATAGGATGAGTGCAGGGAATTTGTCAGATTATGATGCATGTATAAAAATGTATGAAGTAGTACTGAAATGGATTTAACCGGATGAAAGGGGATTTTTTTTCCCTTTGTGATTGCTGCAGCATAAATCTAAAGAATGTTAGGTATGACCAAGTAGATATGTCAAGGTCTGCAAATTGTTATGAAATTAGTTTCAATTCCCTAACGAGGAAAACTGAAACTGACAAGATCTGCAAATTGAATTCAACAATTCATTCCCCCTTTACTTCTTATTTGTTTCTATCTTTCATGGATTGTCTTTGTGCCCTAGTGAAAAAGGAAGTAATTGGCCTTCAATGAAATGGGATATAAACAGACCATCTTTTTGTTCTTAATCAAGAGTTTTATAACCTGATTAGTAAGTCGTTTGTGATCCTATGAAAATCAGAGTGACCAAGGAGAATAGAGCCGCTGGAGTCCTGGATAACTTTGATGAGGGAGAGAAGTATACCGAGCATTTCCTGAGGAAATTCGTGCGCAACAAGTCACCAGAAATTATGCCGTCGATCAACAACTTCTTCACAGACCCAAGTCGAAACTAAGATCCTACATGAATGAACTACACATAAGTTTGGATATAGTTTCGAATTTGAATAGTTGGTGGCTGTAAACACCATTCTGTTCTTGAATTTGCTTTTATTTGTTTGATGAAATAAACTGTTCTGAACCAAAATTATGAAATTCTGATTTTCATCTATGCACATCGAATGGTTTTTGTTAATGGATATGTGAATTGACCGATTCTATATTACAAGTTATAAATGTGTTTGGAGCTTCAGAGTCTTGGTTGTGGAACATTCTTTTTGGGGGAATAGGAAAGCTTTTGATGATTCAATGAAATTCAACTTTGTGATCAAGACATATTACACAGATGTTTATTGCAAGTATATTTTCAAATTTGGATGGACTCCAACACTGGAAATATGTTATCACTTGAAAGGAATTGATCAATTAGAATATATGAATGAACTCAATCCAGTAGTCACTCTATACATTCATTTCCATTAGAGATGGATGGTTAATTCATTCCTAATTCAATAATTCAATTGATTAGAGTTGGACTTTTCTAATTCAAAATTTATAGATTGAGCTTAGTGTTGTGTAACAGTCATGCTCGTCCAAGGCGTGGTGTTGCCCATGGCTGCATGCCTACGACAAGCCAAACCCTTTACGTCTTTCCATGTTGTACCAAGGCGTGGTGCACCGTAACCCTTTGTCTTTCCATGTTGTAGTGTTTTACTTGTGTATTTCTAGAAAGTATGACGTTACAGAAATATTTGTTTAAGCCAGCCAGACATGAAATGCTTTAGAGGATATGACCGGCAAACATGAAATAGGGATATGACCAGTTGTTGACTAGTTGTCAACTTCTCCCTACCAATAGTTATATACTGTGTTACTCTTTTGCTACCAATGCTTTTGCTACCAATGCTTTAGGGGATATGACCAGGTGTTAACTTTTCCCTACCAATAGTTATATACTGTTTGTTACTCTTTTGCTTGCATATATAACACTCTTTTAAAACCTCTTTCGAAAATTTCTCTCTGCCCTCGTTTTTTAAAAACCTTCTCTTAAACTGAGGTCAGAAGCTTGAGCATACGTCGCTTGGCCGTAGGCGACGCAAGAACGAATTGGCTTAGCTCACTTGTTGTTGGGAAGTGAATACCACACAATCGCAAGTCCACTGCCATCAAAAGTGCGATTGTGACACTTAGCTCAATAGTAAAATGTGTATTACCATTCTAAATGTCAATAGTTCAATCCTACCTCAGAGAAGAGATTCTTAATGGTTACCTTTTGCACCATTCTTTCCCAAAGTGCATAAGTTGGGTACTTCTATTACACATTGAAATAATAACAAAAAATAAGGTTCGAAATAATTAGAACGGTTTCTAAATTCAGGCTACTGGAATTAATCAACAAAGATACAACAGAAATGCTCCTTCTACTGGATAATTCAAAATGCACAGCCAACCTAGAGTGGACTGAGCGAGAGAGAAAGGGCAATACAATTGAATAAAAACATTGAATATAGTGAAGACGCCAAACCTTGATGTTGGAACTTCGAAGAAATGAAGATTTCTAGGCCAAACACTTAGCAGTCAGTATATATTTGCTCGATATCGACCGACCTGTATTCGTCTCCAAATATTGGAAAAGTAGGTTAGAAAATCAGGTGTTGCAATGGAGAAAACTTAGGGAGGGAAGAGCTCAACATCCATAGATGGAAAGCTAGACTGTGGTAGCCTCATTCCTCTGAGTAAATCCTTAGCCGTTTCTTTCTCCTGCAATGAATGACAGCACCAAAAAGACAATGGTGGTTGAGTGACACTTGAACTACATGTTGGCCATGAAAGAGTAAACTTCAAAAACGCAAAACCAATAATACTCACCGGACCAGTGTAATCCAGAAGGCGTGTACAATACACTTCTGCTTCATCAAATTTCTTTTGTGCTTTATAGTAGGTAGCAAGAAAAAGTAAAGCTTCAACCATATTGGGTCCTTCCCTCTCTTCAGCTTCCATTCTTTCTAAATCCTTTTTGTAGTAGAATGCTGCCTCTTCAGACTGCCTCAACTCAGAATGCAGTTTAGCCAACTGGTGCAGGGCAATGGCTTCTCTATCGTTACAACTTGCAGCCCTTCTGTAACACTTGATTGCCTCCTCCAGCATTCGTAACTGTTCGCTTTCGTAACACTGAGCCATGGCAATCCACAATCTAGAATCGTTCGGTTGCAAAAATACAGATTTCTTGAAGTAATGTAGAGCATAGAAAGGCATGCCCATCATTTCATAAGCTTGCCCTAACCCATACCAAGCTCGATAATCACACGGATTTATATCCACAGCTCGTCGGTACGCATCAATGGCAGCAGGAATGTTCTTCATCTCCACAAATTCATGTCCCATCAGAGTCCAAGCAGATAAATAGTTTTTGTTTAATTTGAGTGCCCTTCTGAAATATACAACTGACTTCTCGTGCTGCCCCTTTAAACTATAGTAATTTCCAATAATGCAGCAAGATTCAGGTCTATACTTATCTGTCATGAAAACTCTATGAGCAAGGTAGCTCAAGGCAGAGAAGCATTCCTTTGCATAGAGGACATTTGAATACATATCCATGTCTTCCACCCGATAAGGATCATTCCTAAGAAGTTCTTCAAATATTGCTTCAACTTGATCAAACTCCCTCAAGCTATATTGGGCTTTGGCAATTTGAGCTTGTATGTAATTACTAAAACCAAAAGTAGCTTGTAAGTTCTCATATTTTACCAAGGATTCATTATGCATCCTGAGTTCATGGTAAGCATAGGCAAGAAAAAAGTCCTTCATCCAATGGTTATTGAGATTAAGGCTGTTCAATATGTCAATTGTAGTGCACAAGGATTGCAGCTCTGACCATGCACTCCAGTTCCAAGGGTAGCTGTTCACCGACTCCATAAGAGCTGTGCGAGCAAGACTTTCACTGCCTTTTTGTTTGAGCACGAGTCCATACAAGTACAGTCCAAACGGGTCGATCATGCCATTTTTTCGGAGGGTTGATAACTCCCTTTCCAATGAAACCAGTTCTTGATTTACAGCATTGCTCTTACCCAACGATCCCTCAAGTTCTACTACCTCTTCTTCTTTTCGCTTTTCACCGGCCTACACGAAGCAAAGTGCGAGTTGTTGGTTTGAGAAAGAGAACCACAAAGTCGAGGTGAAAAATAACCAAGAACATAGACAAAATCTGTTTATTACAAATTTTTTTTGAAGAGAGTTCTAGTGTGTTTCTAACTGGTCTTCATTTTTATCAATGAAATACATGAATTGAGCCACTGGACTGAACAAAAGATATTAGTAAGCATTGTATGCAAATAGTTTAGTGTAGAAAGCATATCTCACATGTTATGTTTTCCACCTATTATTATTCCAGAGTGGTCTCACATCTATCAATCAAATGCAAACAAATGATACTGAATCTATATAGAAAAGGTTGTCAAAGACACTTTTCACGTTTCATGCATCATTTTCCTTGATGACTATTAACTATTAACAATTCATGGACATTGGACAATGGAAAAATAAGAACACGTCCAATGAGTCACAGACAGGTTTAGAATGCTCTTCTACAAAAAAAAAATAAAAAAATAAAAAAATAAAGCTCAAATTGGGAAGAACCTGATAAATTTCCACGTGATCTTAGCTAACATGATCAAGAATACTCATAATAACAATTTAAATATGTGCACTGCATTTAAGCTGAAATTCTAGGTGAAGTCTCAAATGAAAAATAACAAGAGAAAGATCACTTTCTGATTGAAATCTTGAAAACATATGACTTTATAAGGGAAAAAGTGGAAAAAATGAAAATCTTGGAATAGATATGATCCAGATCATGATCAAGCATATATAATCAGAAGGATATTAGAGGAGAGTAACATATCTTTCTTTTACTATTTTTCTTTGGAAAGCTATAGCTACTTACATTCCTTCACTTGATTTCTAAGTTTTTTAGTAAACTGAACTAAGGATCAACTGACCAGATAAAGAGCATATTGCCGCAAGAACACAGATTTCTTTCCGTTTTGCTCTCGAAGAACATGCGCAGCCCTCTTGTACTCACGGCAATCGAAGTATGATTTGGCCAGGAGGTAAAAATCACCATCCACAACCTCATCCTCCTCCATCACTGGAGTAGAAACATAAGATATGCCAGCAATAGGGGTTGAACAACTCTCATTTGTATGAAATCTCCGACGAATACTCGAACTTCCACGCTGAAACCTGGTGTTTGAAGGTGTGAACTTAGCTGGATCTTGCTCGATACCCACCAATTGCTCTGCTGCCCTGTAAAGACAAAGGAATCTCAAAACTTCAATTAAATCTTTTAGTCATATTACAATATACGAAGGAGATTAATTGTTACAAGAGCTTGCAGATTGTTTAAGAACTAGATACCAAAACTTGAACTCCGATCAATTACGACCATAGCAATTTAAAATTCATCATACTTAAAGTACATCGCGTGTAAGAAGAGCCTTCATCAAGTAAACAAAGACACGATTTAAAGTCACCAATTCGACCTTGTCCGCCGCTTTCTCAGAGACCATGTAACACTAACATCTAAACTTCAAGAGAACTCAACACCTCAGATCCAAATTAAGCACATCAACCAGCACTTGAGCAGTTCAAACAAGATTGAGTATAAAATAAAGATCAGAAGCACCAAGAGAGAGAGAAATTTTAGGGCTATGGGAACTGTACCATTTGGAAGCAGAGTAGAGACAACGATCACTGAGCTGCCGGATTGCAGTACGAAGCTCGTTTCTACAGTTTTCTTTTGAATTCATTGAATCTCCGTCCCTATGGCGCCTTTCTTGCGCTCTTCCTTGTTAACTCAAAACTTCAAATTTCGGACGTCGCTAACATGCGCTTTCTGTTCGTTTCGCCCCACCAGACTTGGAGCCTCCGGCTCTTGCCCGCCCAAACTTTTAAACTTGCGTGTTTATTTGTTTGTTTGTTCAGACTAATAGGCCGAATTCATAAAGCCCATTTCGGGTTAAAGCCCAAACTCAGCGATGATATCGAAAGATTTGATTTTTTTTTTTTTTTTTTTCTTGTTTGGGCAGAGAGAAAATACGAGGGAAAATCAAGGGGAAATGGGAAAAAAAATGTTTCAATCGGCTGCAAGCGCACCCATTTCGCTATGTTTCACAGAAACATTAATGGAGGAGTAAACAAGGCGAAGACGAAGGTTGTTTTTCTCCATCTTTGCTCACCAAAACGCAGCTTGTCGCTCTCATCTCGCGATTTCACTACCCAATCGGAACCCCAATCTTGCTCCGCCCTAGATGCCACCGCTGTGGATATCGCCAATCTTGTCCTAGAATCTGCCCCAAAAAGCTTGAGGGGAATCCTCCATGGATCACAAGTTCAATTTACGCCTGAACTTGTGAACAAGGTTCTCAAGCGCCTATGGTTCCATGGACCGAAAGCGCTGCAATTCTTCAAACAACTCGAGTACCATCCATCTTATGCCCATTCCTCGTCTTCCTTCGACCATGCCATCGACATTGCAGGCCGTATGCGCGACTACAAGTCTGTGTGGGCTCTAGTGGCTCGAATGCGAGCTCGGCGGATTGGACCCAGTTCGAAAACCTTCGCAATTATTGCTGAGAGGTTCGTAGGCGCTGGAAAACCAGACAGAGCGATCAAGGTTTTCTTGTCCATGCGGGAGCATGGCTGTCGTCAGGATCTGCATTCATTTAACACCATTCTTGATATCCTCTGTAAGTCAAAACGTGTAGAAATGGCTTACAACCATCTATTTAAGGTTTTGAGAGGAAAATTTAAGGCTGATGTTGTTAGCTATAACATAATTGCAAATGGGTGGTGCTTGATTAAGCGTACTCCGAAAGCACTGGAGATTTTGAAGGAGATGGTGGATAGAGGTTTGACTCCAACTATTACTACTTACAATATAGTTTTAAAAGGGTATTTTAGAGCTGGTCAGATTAATGAAGCTTGGCTGTTCTTTTTGCAAATGAAAGAGAGGGAAGTTGAAATTGATGTTGTTACTTACACTACTATGGTTCATGGGTTTGGTGTTGTTGGTGAAATTAAAAGGGCCCGAAAGGTTTTTGATGAGATGGTTGGTGAAGGTGTTCTTCCTTCAACAGCAACTTACAATGCTATGATACAGGTTTTGTGTAAGAAAGATAGCGTGGAGAATGCAGTAATGTTGTTTGAGGATATGATGAACAGGGGTTATGTGCCAAATTTGACCACATATAATGTGCTTATAAGAGGATTGTGTCATGCAGGCAATATGGATAAGGCTATGGAGTTCATGGAGAGAATGAAAACTGATGGGTGTGAGCCAAATGTTCAGACATATAATGTTGTCATTCGGTACTTTTGTGATGCTGGTGACATAGAAAAGGGGTTGAGTGTGTTTGAGAAGATGGGCCACATAGGTTGTTTACCAAATTTGGATACTTATAATGTTATGATTAGTGCAATGTTTGTGAGGAAAGAGTCTAAAGATCTAGTGGTTGCTGGGAAGCTGTTGGTTGAGATGATCGATAAAGGATTCCTCCCTCGAAAGTTCACTTTTAATCGAGTCCTAAACGGGCTTTTGCTAACAGGTAATCAAGCGTTTGCCAATGAGATATTGAGATTGCAGAGCCAATGTGGTCGCCTTCCTCGTAAATTTAAGTTATGAAGCCATTGTCGCTACGAATGATGCGAGTTTCAGTGCAATGAAGGGCAAGTTAGTGTATGTGGAGCTGTGGTTAGGAGATGGAATGGAGTTGATACCTTGAAGTCTTCCATTCGTAAACAATGCAGTTATAAGTGGACACTGAGTTCATTTGTTTCAAGGTCTCATATCAAGACTCGATCAGTTTTAGGTATGTTTAATTTGATTAATTTAACCCTAAGTTGCAATAGATATCCTTGCTGATAATGAGCAGCGATTGGATATGCTCGGACAAGATCATGTGTCAACAAACAATCGGATTTGGATCATCAAATGAGTCTGGTTTTTATGTTAGCTTGTATTCTGGGGTTCTTCGCCAACGGTTAATGATTAACGATCTTCTCCGAAAGGACCATGATATATAGTGTGAGATCGAATCATCAACTTTTAAAAATGGTCATTAGTGCTTCGGTATTAATTAAACTATAAAATCATCCCCTTTAAAAATTAGTTTATGGAATATTAATTAGTTTGTATAATATTTTGATATATTTTGTGTAAATTAATTTGATTTATAAAGTTATATAATAGAATGGTGGGTGAATTTAGCAATTTAATTAGTTTTATTATTGTCTTGTACAAACTCTAATTAATTTCATATATATATATATATATATATCATTCCTTTATTTTATTTGTTATTTATTATTTATATTGATTTTTAATTTAATTTTTATTCATCAATTTTAAAATTAATACAAATAGATTTTTTTTAAGCTAAACTAATAAAAATATCCATTTTAATATTACGACATAAATGTACAATTAATTTGGATATTATATATGGAAAAAGTACACGTAACAAAATTATTAAAAAAAAAAAAAGAAAATCGAATAATAATAATTTAGAGCGCGTAAAAATTCAACTTGTTCAAAAATAATCACTAAAAACTTTCAAAAATTACGAAAGACCCTTCCCCGCCTAAAGTCTAAAATCTCCTATCTCCCGTCTTAATCTCAACGGTCATGATTCAGTCTCTTTCATCTCAACGATCATAATTCACTCTCTTTCCTTTCTCATTTCTCCCTCTCTATCACATTTCTCTCTTCCCTCCAATTCCGAACCCATTTCCCGCATGTTTTGTTCTAGATCTGCTGAGCGGCGGCCGGACTGTGACGACTGATGGCGGCTCTGCCATCCTCTTCCGCTCTACCGGATTCTTGTTCCTCCAGGCACCACACTTACAGTAGGAAGCAGAAATCCCTTGGTCTTTTATGCTCAAAGTATGATTCTTTTGCAGTCGGTGTAATCCATGCCTTTTTGCTTGATGATTTCAAGATTTTGATTTGTTTCTGTGTTCTGTGCAGTTTTTTGAGCTTGTATGACCACGATGGAGTCCATTCGATTGGGCTTGACGATGCCGCATCGCGATTAGGTTTAATTCTAGTTCGTATTTGTTGCATGAACTGTTTAGCTTTTTTTTTTTTTTTTTATTATTTTCTTTTTCCTGAAATCTGAGGGTTTTGGTGTGTACAGGTGTGGAAAGGCGGCGGATCTACGATATTGTGAATGTCTTGGAAAGCGTCGGGGTGGGATTTCTTTTTTGGTTTCTTTTCTGAAGTTATTTTGTGTTTGTTCTGATTCCATGTATGTGCTAATTTAAGCTTGTGTTTTCCTCTTGTAATTTAGGTTCTCTCGAGAAAGGCGAAGAATCAGTACAGCTGGAATGGGTTTGGGGCAATCCCTAAGGCCTTACAGGATCTTAAAGTAGGTTAATTCGGTTTCCTTAGGGTAAAATGGAGTTGCTCTGATTTCATTTTATCTGCTGTTCCCAATAGGGATATGGAAATAATTTAGTTTTGAATTGTTTGATAGGAAGAGGGCTTGAAGGAAAATTGTACTGCATCTGATGGTAACGATTATGCAAAAGTATGCTATTTTATTTTCTCCCCATTTGTTGCGTGCGTATGGGTTGCAATTTGAAGTTTCCTTGTTTACATTTTGACACATTTAGGTCTCGGATGATGAAGACGATGATGAAAGATTTTCCAATCCGACTGGAAGCCAGAACTCAACTGCAGCCGTGCCGAAATCATCTTCATCATCGCTGAAAGCCGGTATGCATTTTCCTTGTTACTTCAAGTGACCCTTTTTTATCTTCGGAAGTTGCCCATCAGCCTATTTGAGATTGGTTTTTCTGATTGCTTGAATTGATACTGTGTATTTAAGTTGGCTGTCCTCCGCCAACATTTGTACGGTTTGGCCATCAGGGCATTAGGTTCATTGGTTCAATTTCAGACCTTTATATTTGTTGTACTTAACAAAGTTGGTTGCCTTCCACAATCTGGTTCCCTTACTCTTTCTATTAGTATATGCAGACAATAGAAGGGAAAAGTCATTGGCTCTCCTGACGCAAAATTTTGTTAAGCTATTTATTTGCAGTCATGTGAGTGAAAAAATGACACCCTATCTTTGACTTGTTTGTGGGTGATCCTCTGTGCGAGTTCTGTTGATTGATAGAATAATTTTGGCGTTACAGGTGAATATGATTTCCCTTGATGAAGCAGCAAAACTCTTATTAGGAGATGGTCACAATTCATCAATAATGAGAAGTAAGTAATCCTGAACTTTGCTATTAATTTTAGAATGTGAACTGGGAAATTCTTGTTAGTAACTATCTTTTGTTATTTACAGCAAAGGTAAGGAGGCTATATGACATTGCGAATGTGCTGTCTTCTATGAATCTAATTGAAAAGGTACTGCATTATTGCACGCTGACCAGAGTATTAAATTTCTATCAACATATTGATCCTTCTAGATGTCTATAGGTTTGACAATGACATAAGGGGCGAATCAATACTTCCATTATGTCATAAAGAATCGATGAATCTTAACAAGAATATCAACAAAATATCGCAAGTGTAGACAAGTGAAATTTTAACTAATTTAAAACAGGTGAAATGCGTATTTGTTAATTTAGATATTTTAACTTATCTAGGAATATCCATATCAGTATTTTCATTTATGTTTCCGTTTACAAAATGAGGACATTGTGTTGTGTTTGTTTTCGCTGTTCTTTGGCACAAGTTTGACGTTTGTTGGAATCATATGCAGACCCATACAGCTGACACAAGAAAGCCTGCGTTTAGGTGGTTGGGGGTGAGGGGTAAGGTCAAGAGTGAGCATACCGTTCTTCCAGAGGCCAGAAAAAGGGCATTTGGAACTGACGTAACAAATGTCAGTTATAAGAAGACTAAGGCCGAAAGTTCTGCCTATCAGGGTTTAAATCATTGTCTCAATGTGCAAAAGCTAGTGCAGTGCGAGAATTCTTCGCAAGAGGATAGCCAGAACAGTCAGGATCAGGAATGTGAACGAACTTCCAAGAGCTATCAGTTTGGACCGTTTTCTCCAGTAACAGTAGCTAAGGTTAGTGTCTCAGATAATAACAATGTGAAGCGGAGTCATGACTGGGAAAGCCTTTCCTCAACATTCCGCCCTCAGTATCACAACCAAGGTAATCCCTCTAATTAAACACAGTTGAACAAAGTGCTGTTTTGTTTTGAAATGCCATAATGGATCTAAATGGCCAATTCGTTGAATTTCCAAACTTCGAATTCATATTTATTCAGCACTATCACTGGTTTCCAATTTTCAATTATTCAAACTCCGTATTCATATCTTTTCAGCACTTCCACCGGTTTACAACTTTCAATTATTCTTCAGCACGCTTCTCATGTTTGTTATTGTAAAAGAACTTTATTGGTCAGTATTAGGCGACCAGTTTGGAATTTTTAATATCCTCAAACTTGATACAAACTAATGTTGTGGTGTTTGTTCTTGGAATCGTCAGCCTTAAAAGAACTTTTCTCCCATTACGTGGAAGCATGGAAATCATGGTATTCTGAAGCAGTGAAGAAACCTATACAAATATCTTGATGCGCTTTGTTTCGTGCTAGAAATATTTAATAAGCTTACCTTGATTGAGCACTGTTTCTACTGCAATTAGTCAGGAAAAAAAAAAAAAAAAAAAGGTTTGACCTTGGTTGCATTTCCTTAGTGCACCAACGTAGGAAGGGGTCATCTTTGAAGTGCCAAACATTTCCAATAGCTTCTTGTCTGTTTGTATTTATCCTGAAAACAAGCCTAACATAGTTGTTAGTTATTATTATTTTATTGTAGCTATGTCCTTTCCCCTACAGTGTTCAATGAAATGGGCACTTTGGCCTTCGTTGAAAAGTGGTTTCCCATTGGAACTAAAATGTATACATATTGGAGTTTTGGTCTGGAATTCTTATTTTCTTGCTTGTCTGTCGACATCATCCTAGGTTTCTGGATGCAATTCTCGTGAAAGTAAATGAATGCAAAGAAAAATTCCAAACCAGAGCAGTTGACTTGGGTATTAGTCCCTCAAGAATCTTTTCCCTATGAACTATCATCCTGGGAAAGAACTTCTAATCTTAAGGATGGTTATTATTGATGTTTTCATTACTTAGATTATGTCTAGATTGAAATCACAGCAATTCTTGCTTCCAATCTTCTTACAGCTCAAAAATATGTGATCTGATGAAGGGGTTGTCCTATATCAGCTTCGATTTTGATCTTCAAAGTCGATCGATGTGTTTGATTAGTTAAATTATGTTTGAATTTGCTTTAAACAAAGTGAAGCATCTAAATTTCTTGAGGCTCAGAAATGTTTACTCTGATGTGAGGCTTTTCTTCTCCTACTGTCACTGAAGAGGTCTCAGCAATTTCATAGAGCCTCTTGCATTTGTCCTTCTGGATTGATCTAGAAGACCCTTGTTTGGGGATGACCAACTTCTACTTTCTGGGCCCATATAAATTTTTGTCATATGTCCAGCAGAAATGGCCTTGTTTGTTGATGCTAACTTCTAGAATGCCATTCTTTGTTTCATTTTTAACCTTTCAAATCATTTAACACCTCAATAATCTCCCTATCATTTTTCACATTTTTATATGATGTAAGATTTTAATACTTTCTTAAGGGTCTATTTTTAAATTTGATTTAAATTATTGGCCACAAGTTGTTGATACTATAAGAGCGTTTATATTTAGTTGAATTGCAGGAAAAAAGAAGTTCGAATTTTACTCAGAGTTTCTAAATTTATTAGAATATTTGACAAAAAAATAAGATCTAAGACCCGATGACCTGACTGTCATACTATTGATAATCGTTCATGGTTTCTTATGAATTATTAGTGCAAGTAATTTTAAAACATTCATAAATGAACAAAGTGAATGTTTGACTTTCACTAAGATTTTGAATAGCTATCTCAAATTCAACTTGATTATGTTTTGACTTTTCGCGGAGAAAGACAATCAAACAAGTTTTGTGGATTTGATCATCCATATAATATACAAAAAGAAACTCGTGATATTTGATATCAAACCTTGTTTGATCATCCATCTAATATACAAAAAGAAACTCCAGATATTTGATATTTTTCCCTTTGAACGAAATCTCAATTCCAGCACGATTTCTAGAATCCCTATAGGTACAAATATCTTGGTTGATAAGTTAAAATCTAGCAATAGTTAAAATATTTTTACCACAAACAGAGAGAGAAAGCTTCAATTGGAGTTATTTGTCGTTAATTAATTAATCTACGACTGATGTAATTTCCTATATTTTTTATTTTTTATTTTTTATTTTGATTTTTTTGGGTACGAAAAACGGCAGTTAAGATGATTTCCCGGTGGTGGGTATAATAGCGAAGGCCAAAATTTGCTCATCTTCATCTTCTTTATTCCATATGCAGGGTTTCATAATCGACTGCAGATCGAGTAAACGTTGAAGCAATTTTTTGCTAATTTCCATGTGAGTTTCTCTGTTCGTTGATGCTTATTGATTGTTACTGATTTCTCATTTGGAACTATACATGTCCTCTGTATTCTGGGGATTGAATAATCGCGAGAAAGAACAGTCATTCGAACTCTTTTTTTGGTTCAAGTGGAACCGATTTCAGTTTCTGATCCACTTCTTCTTCAAATCGCAGCTTGCGAGATGAAAAATCTGTCAAGAAATCGAAGGATTATGTAGTATTGGACTAAAAGGTTGCTGACTACATCGCCACTGTCATGTATGGGACCAACATTGAGAATTTGGATAGGGATTCCAAGCTGTAACCAATTGGGCATTGTCTGGTAATCCAACCTAAACCAAAAAACCCCATTATTTCCTTATCGTAGTCAAAAGAAAATTCAGATCATCTCATCATTTATATTTTATCATCATTTTGTTATTATGGAGACATTTCTTTAGCTTTATTTATTCACGTTACAGAAAAATTATAATAACAATCATCCTGTTAGGAGATGGCTGATGCCTGCAATTTTTGTCCGTTCGATAAACTTATCCAAAAACTTGTTATCAAATTAGGAATTCAATGAATAAGTAGGGTTTTTAGTGCAATTATGTCTTTAAGCTTGTTGGTGGAGTGGTGGCCAATATTGATGATGTAAGTGCTTGTTTTCTTACTGTCTTCCCACTATAATTCATACACTATTTTTCAGGGTCTAGTGGCAATCACTACATGCTTTTATTTGAAACGTATGAATATATGCCACGCCCATATGATTGTAGTTCGGTTTTAGTTTTAATGTTTCCAGTTGTTTAGTTCGTTTGGAGAACTTCTTTCAAAATGGTTCTTTGTTAATGTGAGATCCTACATCGGTTGGGGAGGAGAACGAACATTCTTTATAAGGGTGTGAAAACCTCTTCCTAGCACACACGCTTTAAAAACTTTGAGGGAAGTCTAAAAGGGAAAGTTAAACGAGGACAATATCTGCTAGTGGTGGATTTGGGTTGTAACAAATCGTATCAGAGCCAAACATCGTGTGATGTGCCAGTGAGGAGGCTGAGCCCCAAAGGAGGGTGGGTTGGGGGGTCCCGCATCGATTGGAGAAGGGAATAGGTACCAGCAAAGATGCTGGGCCCCAAAGAAAGGTGGATTGTGAGATCTCACATCGGTTGGGGAGGAGAACGAAACATTCTTTATAAGGGTGTGAAAACCTCTCCTTAGCAGACATGTTTTAAAAACCTTGAGAGAAAACCCGAAAGGGAAAGCCCAAAGAGGACAAAATCTACTAGCGGTGGGCCCAAATCTACTAGCGGTGGGCTTGGGCCGTAACAAATGGTATTAAAGCCAGACATTGGGCGATGTGCCAGCGAGGAGGCGGAGTGCCAGCAAGAACGTTGGACACCGAAGGAGGGTGGATTGGGGGGTCCCACATTGATTGGAGAAGGGAACAAGTACCAGTGAGGACGCTGGGCCGCGAAGGAAGGTGGTTTGTGAGATTCCATATCGGTTGGGGAGAAGAGCGAAACATTTTTTATAAGGGTGTGAAAACCTCTCCCTAGCCGACACATTTTAGAAACTTTGAGGGGAAGGCCGAACGGAAAAACCCAAATAAACACTTTTTACAAGCATAGTGATTATGACCGGTGGAGGTTTAGTGTCCCTATATAGACTCAAACTACTATTCCCAAATCTATGATTTTGGGATAAGGAAACCATGAGTTAGGGATGCCAATATGACATCAGATGAACTAGAAGTCAAGAAGATCATTGGCAGTTAACCAAGAAAAATAACTCCATTGGTATGATGGTGTCCCTTTGGTAAAGTCCAAAAGCAAAATTACATGAGCTCAAGTCCAAGAGGAACGATATAATACCGTTAAAAAAATGTGGGGACTCTGTTATCCTAATACCATATTTTAATGCAAGAGTCTATGCCTATGTATATTTAACAATGAAGATAGACTAGTTGTCTACTTCGTTTATATATCAGGGAAGTATTATATACATGGTTTTAGGAGTTTGTGAAATCAGGTGAAAGGGAAAACTAGCTGAATAGAAGTGAAAAGGGAATTTAAAAGAGCAAATCTGGTGGATGTCAATTTCCTACACATTTTTGTGTCTTTTGTTCTGTACTTTCACATTATTTCCTAGGTTTAAAGGCATACCTGATAGGATCACATTACCCAATATATGCTCAAATCCATTCATGATGCCTCTTTTTGAAAAGATAGTGAGGAAACATTTGATAAAATGTCAATAATTCATCCAACAAACCCCATATATCTTATTGGAACAATCTAGATTTGTAAAATTAACTTTATACCTTTTTTTTAATTAGTCTCTTCCTTTTGATGTAGCGAAGTATTCTTCGCAACTTATAATTTTCCCCTGCTTTATCGTTATCAATTATTAATTTTCAACAGTGAATTCAAATAGTTTACCAAGAACATCCATGAAATTTTAGGGCCTTGAACATTGGTTTTCAGCTTTTCAAAGAAAAACTATTCAAAGATAGCAAGAAAACGCCCAGGTCTGACTTGTTGACCCTGAAGACATGAGCTAAACTAATTGATAAGTATGAGTATTGTGAGCCTAGCCACAAATTTTGAGCAAGAAGCACAATGCAATCCTTGGTAAAGCTTTTACGACGTCTTGTCGAATTTGGTAAACGAACAAATAGGTGCCTAATATAGACTTGGGTCTTGAGTCACAATCTTGGAACATAGTATAATCTAACCTTTAGAAATTACTTTGATAAAAGAAGGAATAATAGAAGGGGAGGGGGCAAGCAACCTATCCTTTGGAACATAGTATACTCTTGGATCACAAACTTTGTTTCATATAAGTTTGGTATATTGGATGAAAAAATAGTCTTTTAAGTACTAAAAATAAGAATACTCGAAATTCAAGACGATATGGAGAAGGAACTTAAAGTAGCACAAACGTCTTGTAAACTTTTGAGTATCAAGATAGTTTGTAACTTCCGTTAACAAGGCAAATGAACGAAACCGCCGAGAAATGGATCTGTTCCAAAATTCTAGAGATTTAGTTTAACGTTGAGGGGAGGATTTTCCATTGAAGATAAAGTGTTATCATAATATAGTTTAAAAAGAAAAACTATTTTCTCCTCTTACCAAACAAAAACTTAAAACTAAGTAGACCATTAATGAAAAAGACAGAGTTACTGTTACCCAAAAGGCATGAAACAAAGGCCTAACTACAAAATGAAAACCTTGAAAAGAAGCATAAATGATAGGCACTCAAGGATGGGGAAGAAATCAATTGGAACCAAGCAAAATTAAAGAGTACTCTTAGAGAAGAGGAGCCAAACACTTGGCAGCAATTGAAGGGTTCAAAGGAAGCAATGGGAGTGTCCTTTTGCAGACAAACAAAGAGAGAAGCTGTTCAAAAAAGGTTCTTCTTACCAGAAACATCTAACAAATTTCCCATTCAGTGGAGCACTTAAGGGGCAGCTCAGAAAGGCCAAAATGCAATCTATTGGAAAGTTACAAGCCTTGACCCATGTGCTCTTCCCCCTACTCCCATCCTCCTTCTCTCTGTTATTAACCCTTCTCCTTCCTTTTTATGTAAAAACTATTACCACTGTTTCTTAAAATCATATCCAACTTCTTACCATGTTGCTCTTCTTTTACCTTCACCTTTTTGCCTAATGTTACCAACTTTACCATGCCCTTTTGTCACATATCGAAGTTGGGTGAGGATTCCTTCAATGGGGGCACAAAGAATGTTTTAAAGGACGTTTTGTCTTATCTGACAAAGATAACAATCGAATCTTGGGTAACTTTTTTACTGTATGAACTTTTGCCTGTAAAACTATCATTAGTGGTATAAATCCCTCCTCATTTAACCCAAAGTCAAGATTTTTGGGACACATATCTCTTAATTCACGAGTTAGTCAATATTATTAGACTAGAGTCAAGATTTCTAGGATTGAACCAATTATGTCCATCTAGAAAATAAGAAAAATAAAATTATAGCGTGATAAAAATATCTTTGTCTCAGACCAAGTCCAAATCTTCAAGTCACAAAAAAAACTATGATATCCTTTTCACTCATAATTTATTTTCCTCATGTTATACTTGTTCAAATGTATGTCATCAACTAGAGATTGGAAGGTTTAGTCTTCTTTTTTTAATCTATTAATTTTACCTTAAAGATTTCACAAACTCTACTTTGAATTCACCCATTCTGTCATTAAACTCAACAGATCCTTTCAAAATTTGAGAGAAACCAGCTTCTCTAAATGAAAAGGGATGTGAAGAATCAAAAATGACCAGAATGAAATAAATGGGGTAAGGCAGGAATATGTTTTAGAAGAAAGTAGCCAAAACTAGGGGAACTTTTAGGGGAGAAGGGGGTATTTATTTTTCCTAAATAGTCTCAATGATTTCACTAACACTTGCGTTTTAGCCTTTCAGGGCTGGCAAACTATAAAGATATGTTCCAGAAAAGAAGCATGTGGTGCATATGTACATTAATTTAGATTATAGCCTATGGGTTTTACAATATTATTATATCAATTTTACTTTAGTGGGTGGGGAAGTAAAGAATTATCCCCAAATCCTACCAGAAAAGTAATCAAAATATTGTGTGAGAAAGAAATATCCCTTTCAGGTCCTTTCCCCTCATTTCCTCTTCAAATTTTTTAATTGAATGTGGAATATTAATGCCCCCCTCCTTTGCAATCGAATCTTACCAGATTAAAGAGAAAACCCCAAATAAATTATGAAAGAAAGAAAGAATGAAAAACCCCATCAAATATGGATCCTGAGATACATTGAGTTGTCTTCCACTTTTAAGGAGGGAGAAAAACAGAAAAGAACAAAAGAGAGCCATTTAATTTGAGATTAAAGATCAGAACTTCCCTAGGATAAGTCCTGATTAATTGTATTTCTAGTTCTAAGGAATTAGGGGTTGTCCGCTTTCTTGGAAGCTGATTTTGGTTCATGGAGATGCCCCAGAAGTCGTCACTGTCAATTATTGAACCCAAAACAGAGTCCCATTAGTTGATTTCTCAGCCAAATTGGACTAAACCCATCTCGGATTTCATGTTTTTGATACAATATTTGGCTTGTCTGAAAATAACCTGGGCCGTCAATTGGTTGGTAGACAGATAATATCCGAATAGGATGTTGTCAAATTTGAAGATGGTAAATCTGTGAGAGTGAAAACCCAAGCTCTGCTGTAGCTTCTATATGCATGGCGGATAGAGAGTGGAACTAGAAATACGGGTCAATTAGAGGCTGTTTAAAAACCATTTCCTACGTTTCATGTTCTCCAAAATTATACAGATAGAGAAACCAAAGTGGCCCATTTCTTGTCTCTCCCACTTTTGCCAACAGATAGAAAGAAAGAATCATCTATAAAAAGTTGCCCCAAGTCATCGTTTGCCTTGAACGATCACTGCCTCCAAATGGGAATTATGGAGTACCATCAGACTTTTCATAATTCAGATACATATTTCGATCGATCTTACTCTTCTTCTTCTTCTTCTTATTCTTCTCCATGTCTCACTACTTTCAAGGGTCATTCTTCTTACATCTCTTCTCTGACTCTCGCCGGAAAGTTCCTCTACTCTGGTTCATCCGACAAAGAAATCCGATCATGGAAACGAAACCCAATTCAAAACTGTGAAGAAAATCAGGAAGAGTTTCAGAATAATATGGTTACTACCGGACATGGCGCAGTGAAATCTCTAGTTGTTTCATCTGATAAACTTTACAGCGCTCATCAGGACCACAAAATTCGCGTTTGGAAAATCTCTAATGATTTCGATCAACAACGAAAGTACACGCGCTTGGCCACTCTGCCAACGCTCGGCGACCGGACGGCCAGGCTTTTGATGCCCAATAATCAGGTCCAGATCCGACGGCACAAGAAATGCACATGGGTTCATCATGTCGATACGGTTTCGGCTCTTGCTCTGTCAAACGATGAGTCGCTTCTGTATTCCGTCTCGTGGGATCGGACCCTCAAAATCTGGCGGACTTCCGATTTCAAATGCTTGGAGTCCGTTGCCGGAGCCCACGACGACGCCATAAACGCCGTCGCGCTCGCCGGCGACGGCGACGTGTACACCGGATCGACGGACAAGAGGATCAAAGTCTGGAGAAAAAACCCAGATGGAAAAAGGCATTTTTTGGTCCAAACACTTGAGAAGCACAGCTCGGGAATTAATGCCTTGGCCCTCGCCGGCGATGGGTCGGTTTTATTTTCCGGCGCCTGCGACAGGTCGGTCCTAGTTTGGGAGAAGGAGGAAGGGGGTGGGTTTATGGAGTTGGTGGGTGTGTTGAGAGGCCATTCGAAGGCCATATTGTGTTTGGCTGTGGTGTTGGATCTGGTCTGTAGTGGCTCTGCAGACAAGACGATCAGAATTTGGAAAAGGGTCGTCGCCGGAAGCGGAAATTACGTGTGTTTGACGGTTTTGGAAGGGCATAACGGTCCCGTGAAATGTCTGGCGGCGGCGGTTGATCGGTACAACCAAAACGACAGGTCGTTAATGGTTTACAGTGGTGGTTTGGACTGTGATATCAAGGCGTGGCAGATTTGTGTTCCTTGTGTTTAAATTGAAACTTTTATTGATCTTTTTTGGGGTTCTTTTAGGGATTTGTGTACATATTATCAATGAGTTTAGTGAATTGTGTTTTTTGGAAAGTGTGGTTTGTGAGCGATCTCTATGGAGAATCTTAAGAACTTGGCTTTTGGATCATCAAATGAGGTTAGTTACGACACACGATCATAAGTAATGTTGACCGATAAAGTTTGAAATTATATCTCAATTAGATGATTCTATTACATATATTTTGTTTAGACCTTATATAAGTTATAAATTTGGTCTCTAAGATACGAATTGTCAATATAATACAACTAAGATAAAGTAATAAAATTTCTTTTTATGATAGGGCAATAGATTGTCTCTTTAAAGTGGCATTGCTCGCTTCTAGCTTGCAAGTAAGGGAAGGTTAAAGCCTAAAACCGAATTTTAGAAGATATAGAAATAGGATTTCATTTTGGATTTTGATACTCTGCTTTTTAACCGTAAGCATCTTACTAGGAGGTAGGAAATCACATACAATCATTTTATGAGAAGCCATTTTATGAGTTATCATAGGAGTGTTTGACATAAGATGTTCCTACGACGTATTTGATTAACTCAACATTTTTTTAAATTAGGTATTTAGTAGATCAATTTCATGTTAATAGACTTGGTTAATTTTCTTTTTTTCTTTTTTCCTTTATGGATATTATCTTGTGGCTTTTTCTTATATCTCTCTATCCATTGAGTTTGATTAGACAATAGAATGAAATAAAGTTAGATAAAATGGTAATCACTTTTGTGTCTAAATGATAAAGACAAGAGAATGAAATTACTAGCGGTTGGTGGTGTCTTAAGTAGGCGTGGACTTAGATGCCAAGTTAGATATTGGACATCTCGACTAAATCGTACATTAAAGTCTAACACGGTTATAATTAAAGAAGATTTTGACTAATCGAGACATGTAGTAGACGAGAGCTATAATAAAAAGGCTTGACTTATAGTGTTAATAAATTTAAATTTATACAATTTATGTTTAGATATAAAAGCATGGATTATAGAATTATGAGTTTCTCATGTTCGGTTTCAAATTTTATCAATATGTTGGGTGAAAGACTCAAATCTTTTACTTTTGTTGAAAGTATATGTCTATTTGAATTATACTCCGGTAAACATTATTTATAAGAGTTGGTATTTGTTACCTGCCATAGATGAAGTAAATCTCAAATATTTAGAGACATCATAGATGCCTACCAATTAAGATATATTTAAGTCAACCTTACTATTTATTTGAGTGTCAAGTACTTTTTATCCTCACCCTATTTTCATTTTAAATACTTGATTATTTTTGTTCGTTTCTTATTATGTTACAACTCATAGACAAATTTCAATTTCAAAAAAGGTTACACGTTTATTTATCATGTTCTAAATCTTAACCTTTTCTTTTCTATGCCATCGGTTATGATTATGAATATTGTACAATTATTACTACAACAAGTTAGGTTTTTAGTGCTAAAGATAAAAATCTCATTATGTTAAAGCTCTTTAAGTTTCAGTGTGTTGTATTAAAATGTGATTGGGTAGACAACAACAATGAAGATATTGAGATATATGAACTTATTTACAACTTCAGACTTTAAGATAGACATAGATTAAGAACGAACATTTCTAATACCTTTTTTTGAGTGCATATTTTTCTTCATAAACTTATCTAATAATAACGGTCGTTAGAAGTTTCAAGACCGTGCATGAATTAGCACACATTAGGGATAGTGGAGATGCAAAGCCAAATGATGCTAATAAGAACAAAGGAAAAGTACACGAGCCTTCTTTGCAACATCTTTTTTGCACTTTTCCCCTTAAATGATACCTTTCTTGTATCAGTGGAATTCATAAAAAATTGTGCAAATAAGTTCTTTACAAACAAGAATTAGTTGGATTGTGGGGCTTCTATTGGTAAAACAAGAATTAATATATGGCATGGACCATAATTAAATTATTAATGCTGCAGACATTCATGCATATAATAACAATTTATCCTTACAATTGTCAAAATTTCCAGCATCTACCCCTTCAATTCAAAAAAACACCATATTAATTATAAAAAAAAAACCATATAATTAAACAAATCGTTCACATCAAAGTCAAATTTTAAATTTAAAATATAGCAAGACGGAGATTTTTTTAAAAAAGTTCAACAAATAAGGATGGAGAGTTCAAACCTGGCCTCTAACCTGGCCTCTACGTCGAGTAAATGTCTTAATACCTAGTAAATTTAACATACATAAGTCGAAACACTTATATAAATGAAATAATTGAACGAGAAGCTGCCATTAATGGCTTCTTTTTCAAAAAAAAAGAAATAAAAAAAAGTAAAAGAAAATTAACGAGTTGTTATTGTACTATGCAAACGTGGCAGCCAAATATCATAAGGATCAATTGAAAATATCTTCACCTGAAACATGTTATAAAAATCAAGCGCGAAAGACTTTACCTATTACTTGGCATATTACAGATTTACAAGTCGAGGGAGGTTAGGAAACGGTCATTTTTTATATACCAACCTCCCTTTAGTTTTCCACAGATTATTTGTTCCCTGCAAAAAAAAAAAAAAAAAAAAAAAAAAAAAAAAAAAAAAAAAAAAAAAAAAAAAAAACAAA